CCCCAAAACCCCAAAACCCCAAAACCCCAAAACCCCTAAGAAATAATTGATCATGAGAATGCTTAAAGGTAATATTAATTTCTCTTGTAAAACTTTCAAATTTAAATCACATTTTTCTCTCTTATCTTAGTACTTGTTGTAGAATGATTCAAAAGCCTTGCTATTCCAATTATTCCTGGTTTGAGTAGCAAAACTGTTATACTGAGAACTCTCTAAGCTTTGAGAGAGTCCTAAACAGTTTATTTTAAACTCTCTTAAACAGTATATTGGACTTAGAGCTTCTAACAAACTTTTTACAAGTGCATTTTGAGGAGGAAGATTAGAAGAGATCTCTAGGGGTCTCTGGCAATAATCTATTTTAGAAAACTGCTTAATGTTTGGCTCATATTTCATTATACTATCCATTTTTGTAATTGGCAAAATCGATATCTCGACGTTTTGTGTTGGACAAAGTGTTGCGATTTCACTCCCACTATATAATTTTTAGGGTACATTACCAGGGGAGATAGGTACTCTGAATATCTCAGGGAACAATTGTCTCGATTTCATTAGCCTTTAAAATGACTTTGCCTCCATCTAAACACAGATATGTAGAACTCAAGTTAGGCTTTTGCTTATGATTTTCTATTTGACCTTTATAATATCTGCTTGAAGAATGACTTCTTTCTTTATCATCGTTTTTAGGTGACACTTCATTTCTCATCCTATTTACGATTTTGATTCTTAAAAGAATCTTGCTTATATTGACTACTGTTGTCTAGTGAAGGATTGCTAACAATCTCAAAAAGTTCTTTGTCTCTAAACTTGAGACAAATCATACTCCTGGATGCTTGATTGAGGTTCTGAGTAATCAATATGATTTTTTAACTCTCTTTCTGTAGATATTATACACTGCACATTATAACATGAAAATTTCTGTCAGAGCAATTTCATAGTTCTTCTTATAATTTTTTTAATTAATGGAAGTTTTACTGCTGATAAATAAAATATTTATTCCATTTTTGAAAACGACATCCTCCCAACATTTTGACCCAGAATCGAAAACTCAAATAAAATTTGTGTGTTTGAAATTACTTACTTTTACGAAATCCATTCATAACAAAGTTCGCTGGGTCTCTAACATTGAATTCTTCCTTTATCTTATCAAAATAATTCTGAGCGTGACTTCTCACCTGGCTTCCAGCCCTAGTGGGAACACATGTGTCTAGCTTTGTCCAATCTTTCCCATACATTTTCACACCTAAAATGAATTGTCTGCTATTACATTCTACAAAAATCTGATGCTCTTCTTTGCTCCATCTCCCTGTCATTTTCTTGTCTTTGTCTATATAAAAGTGATACAAAATGACTGTTGCCATTGCTTAAGATATTTTTAATAAGTCTTGATCTAAAGCTAAAACTAATGATTTATCTTTTTAAATATTAAAAATTCATACTCTCTTTTTAAGAAATCAATCACTAGCATAATTTGCGATAAATGAGTGAAGTTTTGAGAAGAGTCTAATTCTTGGCTATGAAATCGTTATTTATCTCAAGAATTTGTAAATTTAAACCTTGTGTTATCGAACATTACAAAAATGTGAGTGCCTCCTAAAAAATCCTCTCTTATACTACTACCCTTTATACTCCTAATGCTAGCTAAGAAGCTCTCTATTTTTATGAAGATAGCTTAATAAAAATATTATTAGCGCTTCTATATTCTAAATATCAACATCCTAGGAAGATGTTTAATTTTAGGTTGCTTTGATCGCAAAGTCTCCCAGAACAAATCATTAGTTTTCTTAAAATTATCAAGCAAAGTGCATCTTTTAGGTTGAACTCCAAACAGGTAGAATAATACTTAGAACAGATTCCTTTTGCAGAGAGTTCACCAATACCAAAGCTATTCCAGCATGTTTAATTACCTTTAGGTTGTTTATTCTCCTCCATTTCTAAGCTAATGAAATGATTATAATTAAATTTCAGCATTTTGTCAGCGACATGGGGTTTTGGGGTTTTGGGGTTTTGGGGTTTTGGGG